TATATATATATATATATATATATAAAATTCTCCCCAGTACCATACTGTATTTGGATTAGGTAAAAAAAATACATGGAACCAGAACCTTTACCTATAGACCCATTTATTAAACCATGATTTGGATATCTTCAGAAATGTTTCAAAATGAATAGATTAGACTCAAATTTAAAACAGATGAAACACTTGAAAAGAATGGATGAATTAAGATCAAGTTTTTTAAACCAGCTGATAATGGGAGTGAAATTGTTATCATGAATTAACAGCACTATTTAAGGAGTTATGACAGAGAACTTTTTCATTAACCATTCTACATTTCACCAGGTAAACCTTTAGAAGTGATGCTGACTAAATATATAGAGCATGTGACTACACTGAATACACTGATATCTACTGTATCTACTGTCTACTGAATTAAAGATACAGAGGATTTCATTGATAAAATGAAAACATTAAAACATTTAATCTGTTTGAAAGTGACTATGACAGTTTACAAAAGTACTATTTCTGTACTGTGGTGCCATGAATGATTTTGAGAATGTTTTTTCAAAAATAACCTGAGAAATATTTGCATCAGTTGAAGCAAATATTTAATGGGAAACTAACATTTAGAGGTTAAGACTAAACCAACTCACTGATTAGACACTGATGATTCAAACCATTTGAGATTTGGTGTTATTTATACATAAAACTAGTTTTTATCCTAAAAATAAATTATACTGCATTAAAGTTACATAAATTATACAGGCTTAATAAAATGTTAATTATTAAAGAGTAAAAGAAATGGCAACCAAGAATCAAAATTTTAAGACGCTGTATGCAGCTTTGACCACTAGGGGGTAGCAAAGATCCTTTTTAAGGAGGCGGTGGAATTTCTAAACTTATTCTTTCTCTTATTATTTTGTAAGTGCAGATTAAGTGAACATTTTTTAAAATTATTTTGTAACATTTCAATCATAAATGTGTTTTATAACAGTGGGACATTGTCAAAGCACTGAGATGCGGGGAGAAAAAAGGAGTTAATGTTTGCTAGGATGCTGACAAAGTGGTGGTTTCCTCCCCAAATGATATTTTACTTTTCTTGATAGTGTTGAGACAGCATGTACCCTGTCATTGATCTAGTTCTGTTTTGGCAGAATATTATCACTAGGGTGTATATTTATTTATTTTTATGTTAATTTCAGCACTCAGTTTGGGTTTCTATAACAACAGTTTGTATTTGTGCTTTAGTATATCAAGTCATGTCAAGACTAGTTTAAGAATAAATGCTTTATATTATAAGCTGATTAATTCTCATATATGGCAGTGATAAAATACTAATTGTTTCCTGAGTAATTTTATCAGTGTGTAATTTATGAAAGCAATCTTTCTTACTACTGATTAAGAAAATAAAGATCATTAATAGAAAACCTAGATGGATGGAAGCTAAATGCTGTGATAATAATCTATGCATGAAATCTGTGGTTTAAAAAAGTTTAAAGAAAAAGGACCCTGGCTGGACATTATCTAGCAAAATATATCAATCTTTTCATATTTCTGAGAAAACATTTGCAAAAGATAACGTTTTAAAAAAGATAGAAGTTTGAAGATTCAGAAGGAAAAAAATTCTCAAACTGGATAAATATCACCTCACAGTTTTAACCAATAGAAGATAATTCTTGATATAATCAGATTGATTAAATACTTGAATTTCTAGTAAATAACAGCGATTGGCTGTGAAACAGGAATTAATTGCTGTATAGTCTAGCTGAGTTTCAACAGAGAGAACTAAAAATGTGATTTATTAGGTGAATATAATACAAAATCTCCAAGGTTGGATTTCACAGCAATAATAAAATAGCTGATGAAGTTCAAACTTTTCCTTCATTTTCAGAATAACAGAGCATGAAATGATATTTTAATTTATCTGAGATATCTGAGCTTCTGCAACAATAGATATAAAAAGAATTTTTTTTTTTTTTTTTTACAACTGCCCCTAATGATAAGATATATGGTTAGTTAAAATATAAACCTAATGACTAATAATTCAATGGTTGTTTCTTGACAGGTCAGGCAGGTCCTCACCAAGGTCCACAGTTCCTCCTCTATTGACATAAGGCTAAATGAATGTTTTTTCCTAGGTGGAAGCAGCCATACACGGAGATAACATCATGTTAAAGGTTTGGTTGATCAAACACAGAATGAGTAACCGGATACATAAAAAAAAATATAAGCAAAGATGAAAAATGATCATATTGTGCACCTCGCCTGAGTGATAAGCTGAGTGATTTGGAAGGATGAAGAATAGCTGGCCCCGACAAATTATCAATTAGTTGATCATATTCCCAAGATTCAAAAACAGGATTTGGAAATGAAGGTAGAAGTTGGAAAATGTGGAAGAGAGAAGTGGATGAAAAGTGTGGAGGACTAGTTTAGAAAACTAATCAATGGAGGCCCGCATGTATGAATGTTATTTGAATAGTGTTAAAAGGCTATTTTTAGTGTAATATGCGTGAGTGCATCTGAAGTCAGAATCTTGTTTTGGTTTCTATAAGCTCATTCATAATTTTATTTTAATAATTTTTTATAATTAAGTTAAAACAGCTAAGGAACTCTATTGGTGCACACCCATATTTCTGTCATTAAAATGACTGGTTTCTTTTTCTGTTATGTTATGAAATTAAAATGATTATCTGGGTTTTCAATATAAAATGGTAAATAATTGAGTTTCTTCTGAAGTCAAATCAGATCAAAATTCTCTTTAAATGGCAGGAAAATCCCAGTAAAACCTGATCTTCTGGCATGGGTTTAAGATTAAATAATTCAATATTATAAAAGTTAGGTTCAACATTTTGGATTTCTCACACTCCTGGACGCATTCAGAGGGTGAGATAAATACATAAGGCATGGCAAGATGATTGAAAGTGCTGCGCATGGACAGAACTTAAGTAGAAAATAAAATATAAAACTAAGTTTATATTAATGAAACTGAGTATTATAGGTAATACAAAATAATTACAGTGACAATGTATATAAAAAATAAAATAAAAAAAAAGATTAATTTTATTAATAAAATTTCAAATAATGAACTCAGGTACCCAGTTTGGACTCACAGAGAGGGGAGATTTCAGAGTTAATATGAGCCTAACAGAAAAAAGTAGCTGTGTGTATAATGTGGTAAATGTTTTGTTTTTTTTTATTTTTTTTTTATTATATCCCTAATAATGCATCACCTGATGGGTCCCTCAATAAGGCCTTTAAAGGATTGCCCTTCACGTCTCATGAATTAAAATCAGCTCAGCAATGAATTACCCATTAACTGGAAGGTTGGACAATTTTTGGGAGGAAATGGGAAAACCTTTTGGTGACTATATT